CTTCTTTCTTGTTGGCTGCAAAGCTGAGTGAAAAGTCAAATTATTAAGAGAATATCTGTGGTATCAAAATAAATTTGGATTCTGCACAATAAATGTTGGCAGTCTTGTTGGGAAGCAGATATAAAATGGAAATTTTTAATGAACCAATGTCCACTGAAGAGGAAGTTAAGGACATGTGTATACCATTAAGAGTAGAGGCTAATGCAAGTTTTACAATGCTAGAGATTTAAGCCACTTCAGAGCTCCTTAATAACACACACATTTAAATATATAATGTTATTCACAATGCCCAAATAAGAGGTCTGCGAAAATGATGGATTCTGTAGCTCAAACTTCAATGCAGGCCTAGCAAATCTATGTATGTGCAGGTACTGTCGAGGAGAAAGCAATAAAGCTATGTGCCTTGCTGTACATACCTAGATTAAAGGTCCAAAGGAGAATAAAAAGCACAAACTTGTTGAGTTCAAGCAAATTCTCTCTCTCTCTGACACACACACACACAGAGCAGATTTTGGAACTGAACATTGTTAACAACGTGGTTATTATTTTACCATCTATGTGTGTATTAAAGCATTGTGGTTTACAATCTCAATGTATAAAATTTATTTTTGAAATATCTCAGTAATGGTGAATAAAACATGAAATAATTTAAAGAAAACAATTCAAAGAAAATTAAAGAAAATGCAAAGAAAAGGATTGAAAAAGAATTATCAAAGAATAACTAAGATAAATAATTCAAATAAGGGTGGGCTTATATAAAATTAATTCTTAGCAATATATGGACACCTAAGCCTACATGTGTAATTTTTACTTAAATGATTTCTTGTATCTGATAATTTGTATATAAGTAATACGTTGCAAGAATCTGAGATAAATTTATTTAAGAAAACTGGTGTATTAGACAGATGAATTTTATGTTAGAACAAGATATTAGGAAAATCCCTAGACAACAATTATAAAAGTTAAAATAACTAAAATATAAATTCATCATAATTTCATATCTAAGGCTTGAGACATGTTAATATACATAGACAGCAAACTGCAGTGACAATTTTATATAAACCTTGACATGAACATGTATAATTCTAATGATAGTTTGTAGTTTTCAATTGAGTGCTGTAAAAATAATACTGAAATAAATTAGATTTTTAAAATATTACATTCATAGTCATTCTTTGTTTCTAAGATAAAATGTTCTGAATATTTCAAAAGTGATGACAAATTTAAAGTTACATAATCATATTACTTTTTTCCTTATAAGTGACTCATTTTCATTGTGTGAATTTATCCATTACCAATGGAAGCACCCAAGTTATTTTAGTAGAACAGGATAAAAAGGATCTTTCCACCCTAACATTGTCTGCATCTATGTGCATGAATCCATATGCATGCAAATTAAATTGTGTGTGATTGTACAAGAAATAAAAAAGCATTCTTGAAAGTATTGAGGCTGCAGTAGTTTTTTCAGACTGCTTTGTTTATGAATATGAAAGTAGCATTTTACTTATCATTGTACTCTAGGGCTTGTTTTACAAATAAAAGTAGCTCAGAAAACGACTCTCACTTTTAGTGTAGTTAATTAACGTTTTCTGGATTAACGATATTTGAGGGCTTTGCATGTGGATGATCATAGTTCTTAATGATATTAGTATCATAATTTTCCAGTTTAAAATGCTATGTACTTTTGTGTAGTTAACAGATTTGTAAAAGCATATAGACAAATAATTATGAAATTGAAGCTGTGAACAGGAAATTTTTCTCTTGTGCTTCAAGGTACAAAACATTTCTACAGAATCCCTCTATTTTTATTTATTTACCAAAACCTGTGCAAAAGGAGGAAAAGACTTGTTAAATCATAATTTCTCCCTTCACCATGGTTACAGGACATGGCAATTCTATCAACAAGAAGAAAAATACCAGAATAAAAAGTGTGAAACAGAGCTAGATCAAGACAAAATGTTAAACATGAGAGACACACTGAGTAATGGTCAAGTGTCTCATTGCTTCATGATCAAGCAATTAAAGCTTTCCATTAAAAAATAAACAAAAAGCACAATTTGTCTTCTAATGATTTCCAGAAATGGGAGTTCATTTAGAGATAACTATCATACTTACAGGGATTGATATGATCAAATAAAAGTTCCATAAAATTCCAGGGCTCGGTGCGGTGGTCTAGTGACTAAAGTCCTTGCCTTGAACATGCCAGGATTCCATATGGTCGCCTGTTCTAATCCCGGCAGCACCACTTCCCATCCAACTCCCTGCTTGTGCCCTGGGAAGGCAGTCCAGGACGGCCCAAAGCCTTGGGACCCTGCACCCGGGTGGGAAACCCAGAGGAAGTTCCTGGCTTTTGGTTCCGGATTGGCACAGCACTGGACTTTGTGGTCACTTGGAGAGCGAATCATTGGACAGAAGATCTTCCTGTCTGTCTCTCCTCCTCTCTGTATATCTGACATTAGAACAAAAATAAAGTAAATCTTAAAGAAAATCCTGATCTTGTTCTTTAACCAGCATAGAAAATTAATTGTATTGATGATCTTCATTTTGTAAACCAAATGGAATTATTTAGTTGAATTTATGCATAGAATATTTTTACTTTTTTTCTTTTCAGTAATTGCCATTAGCAGTAGAATTTGAAGATCTAGATTTTATTTAAAATTGCATTCTATTATTAATGAGTAAAAGTGATGACCATCCAAGAGTTATTCCTCAAAAGTACCCATACTTACTGATGCATTATCTTTAATACATTTGTGTAAAACTACAGGTGTTTAGGAATCAGTGACTGATAATGCAGAATGCGTTCTTAAAACGCAAGATAACTTGAAAGAAAATATGTTCCTGAGACAAATGTAACACAATAAGAGTGGTACCAAACCATGACAATATTAAAGTTTATAATCAAACTACCCAGGTATAGCATGGATATTAATGTAATATTTAGGAAGGTGGAAATAGAACATACATAAACAAACAAAAACCTAAATTTGTTATATGAACATTCTGCACAACCCAATCTCCCAAAGTGCATGCTTTGAATTTCCTATTACTTTAGAACAACATAATGCAAATGACCAGAAATAGAAAAATACATGTTTGATTTAAAATATAATCAGGAAACAAAGATGTCAAAACTTTCTAGTTGATAAATGAACTCTTGGATTAACACATGCATATATACTGAAACAAGAAAGGAAAAAAAAAATCAGATCCTCATTAGCCATAGGAATCAAAGGTAATTTAACCAACTTTGAAGAAAATAAGCCACTGAAATCAGAAATTCTTAATTTCTGCTGTACAACATAAGAAAGGAAGGCATAAAATGGCATATGAATCAACACAGAAAAACAATGTAAATTTAAAATGTGAAACTTCCTCCAAAATGAGATCCAATTTACACAGTACTATTGAAGGAGAAGAGATAAAAATGAAGGTATAAGGAGATATACTCAGAAATATGTTTCTCTCCAATACGTGCATTTCGATAGTATCTTACAACTCTTCAAGAATATCAAAAAGCCATATATTATAAACCCACAGGCTAGACTCCATTCCTTGCAGCAAGTCCACAGCAATTCACAGCACACAGGACACACTACCTTCTCATAGATACTCTGTATTTAGAATGTAGCTTTCAGAATGCTACACTTTATTTGCTTTCTGCCTCTTGTTTCTTTATGAGTTTATTGCTTATTTCTTCTCTATCTCTGAATTGTATATTCAAAGGGTAGTAGGGACATTGCTTCTTAAATGTCAATTCCATTTTTCAATTGATTTGCATTGTAAATGGTATCATTTATGACCAAGGTCTTATTTACTGACGAATGTCAAGCAAAGATGTTGATTCTTAATTTCTCCTGACCTATAGTCATTAAATTTTTCCTAAACAGCATGTAAAAATTATTCAACTTTATATATTCATATCTTGATTTGACTTTTCTGTTAAATGCATCACTGTTTACATTGTGCTGTAACTATTTATTTCTATTCAGGTTAACTTCATCACAACATGAATGCTTTATGCATAGTGCCCAGACTTACATGTCATACATAATGTGAGTTCAGATATTATCTGCTGACAATCAGAAGGATGAGAGAAGCAGGTAACCATTCAATCGTGAATCCAATTCTTCATTTCTCAAGTGGTGTATTATTATTGCTTTACATAATTTAAAAATTGAAATTTAATACTTAAAATGTGATTTGTGTAGACAGTAATTTCATTGCCTTTTGTAAGGTATTTTGAAATAAGGTTAATGATGTATTAAAATACTGAAAATATTGGTTCATATTTAAAGTAAATTCTACATGATTATAAGTTTGACTAATCTTCTTTGACTGTCTTAATTTCAGATTGATTAGAGTGTGTTCAGTTTTATTAAGAATAATTATTGCCCTGGTCCCTTTGGGTTACTGTTTTTAAAAATAGCCATGAGGGTCAGAGCAATTGCGTAGTGATTGAATCCTCATCTTGCGTATGCTGGGATCTCATCTGGGCACTGATTCGTGTCCTGGCTGCTCCAGTTCTCATTCATCTTTCTGCTTGTGGCCTGGGAAAGCAGTAGAGGATGGTCCAAAGCCTTGGAACCCTGCACTTACATTTGAGACCCGGAAGAGGCTCTTGGCTTCAGATTGGCGCAGCCCAATCATTCCAGCCACTTGGGGAATGTATCTGTGGATGGAAGATTTTGCTCTCTGTATCTCCTTATCTCTCTGTGTCTCAAACTTTCCAATTAAAAAGAAAAAGAACCATGTGGCTTACTGCTAGTTTAACTAATTGCTTTCTCATGTTACCCTTATGGCATCCCGACTTCTTATAAGTCATAATAAGATTGTTTCACAAATCATATATTTAGAATCCCATATTACAATCATAAAGGTATCGTTTCCTCCTTCATGAAGCTTATCATCTTTGGTATAAACATAAGTAGATATGTCCATGTGTAATAATTCAAAGTTCATAATGTTAGTTTTCAATGGAAAGATTTCTTGTCTTTGAGATGGAGGAGAACAAAAAAAAGGTCAAGTACCCAGAAGTCTACATTCCCCTGGAGAATCTACAGCAGTTTCCTGCCTTCAATTCCTATGCCTGTTCCTCTGATTGTGCTTCAAGTCCCACCAGCAAAGAAGGCCAGGAGGCCCTCTCTCTTTCTCCTCTTAGCAGAAGTTCAGGTTCCCATGCAGACTTTCTGCTAACCCCTCTGTTACCCACTGCTGGTCAGGGCAGTCCTTCATTCTGCGTTGGGAGTCTGAAAGAAGATTCTCCCTTCTCTTCCTTTGCCCACATGCTGAGGGTTGGAAAAGCAAAAGAAGATGTGTGGCTCAAAAGTACTCCAAAGAGAGATGAAGACAGCTTAGTTCCTCCTGCCCCTGTGGACAGTAACGGAGACAGTGACAATTCAGACCGTGTTCCTGTGCCCAGATTCCTGAATCCCTTCAGTCAAGCTATTGAAGCAGCCTTCAGGAAATTGGACACACCAGCTACTTCAGACCTTCTCTCTGAAGAGAAAGGTAGAACGAAAAGAAAAATGCAGAAACAGAAGCTCCTCTTCAGTTCTTCGGACGTCCACACCAAGTGACACCACCAGCTCTGGCTGTCGTTTCCATTTTTTTTTTCCATGTGCTTTTGATTTGCTGCTTTAATTTTTAAGTGTTTGAGTTTGAAATGATTAGCTTTGCGGGGAGGGGTTTCCACAATGTGAGAGGGAAACAAGATTTAAAATACAGTGTATTTTCCAACGTCCAGTCTTTACACCAAAAAAAAAAAAAAGTATTGACACAAGAAAAAATCTTCTATATTTTTTTTGAATTTCCAAAATATTAGTGTCTCTTTCTGTTTTTGTGTATAAGGGAAAATATATAGTCACTTTCTAAAATCATACAATTCATTGTTTCATCGTCAGCAAACATGAACCGGATGCGACCGGATGCTTCTGTGGAAGCTATCTGTACTCCATCAATACTCTCTTAATTAGACCTTGATACACAGTAGTCAGACGTCCAAATGCCAGGCATAATTCACTGTGTGTTTTCTATAGCCACTAGTCTTGTTTTACTTTCCCCATATAGGAAACTAACAATTTCAGATTTGACCCCAATGATGAATGATGATAACTGTCTCAAAAACCCTCAACTTTGTTATACCACAAGAAGAGACAAGGTAGAAAATGAACAGGACTCTACTGTGCCAGCCCTTAGGCTTATCTGAAGGAGACAAGCTCCAGATATATATCAAAGTAATTTAATTCATAATGACATTGATTTTCACCCCTTTTTAGTTTTACATCCCTACTCAATTAACATAATGTCTGAAATTGCTTCCCTATTAATTTCCAGTTGCTATGGTAACAAACTATCACAAATTTGGTAGCTTAAAAATGCAAATATGGGCCCGGCGCGGTGGCGCAAGTGGTTAAAGGTCCTCGCCTTGCACCCCCGGGATCCCATATGGGCGCCGGTTCTAATCCCGGCAGCCCCGCTTCCCTTCCAGCTCCCTGCCTGTGGCCTGGGAAAGCAGTTGAGGACGGCCCAAAGCTTTGGGAACCTGCACCCGCGTGGGAGACCCGGAAGAGGCTCCTGGCTTCGGATCGGCATAGCACTGGCCGTTGCGCTCACTTGGGGAGTGAATCATCGGACGGAAGATCTTCCTCTCTGTCTCTCCTCTCTGTATATCCGCCTTTCCAATGAAAAAATAATAAAAATAAATCTTTAAAAAAAAATGCAAATATGCTGGGCTCTGCACAATAGCCTAGTGGCTAAAATCATCACATTGCATGCACCTGGATCCCATATGGGCACCGGTTCATGTTCTGGCTACTCCACTTTCCTTGTAGCTCTTTACTTGCAACCTGGGAAAGCAGCAGAGGATGTCTCAAAGCCTTGGGACCATGCACCTGCATGAAAGACTCATAAGAAGCTCTTAATTTCTGGCTTCAGATCAGTTCAGCTCTGGAAGTTGTGGTCACTTGGGGAGCAAACCAGCAGATGGACGATCTTTCTGCCTCTCCATCTCTGTGTAGAACTGCCTTTCCAATGAAAATAAATAATTCTCTAAAAATATGCAAATTTGCTATCCTATAGTCTTAAAGGAAAGACATTCAAGTATGATTACTTTGGGCTGAAGCCAAAGTGTGGGCAGGATTGTCTAGAAGACCTTAATTGTCTAGAAGAGACTGTTTTCCAATATTCTTATAAGGACTCTTGTGATTTTATCAAAACCAATCAGATAATCCAGGATAAAATCTTCACCCCATCTATCTTGAGTCAAACATGCAGGTGATACATTTTGCTATTAAGATGAGACACATTTTCCTGGAATAAGCACTTCACATTTTCCAGTACTCTTTACTTAGCATAGTATACACTTGAGTCTTTTCTCATGCCTCTTGGTAACTTGTGTTGGTCTGGAGTGATTTATGACTTCCAATTTTAAAATTCAGGATCAGAAAGCATTTTAGTTTTCAATATATTTTATGCTAAGAATATTTTATTTGCATTTTACTTCAAAAATAAGTTTGAGTACTGAATGAAAATTCTAAAGTTTCCTTCTTTAATCTTTACATTGAAAATGTTTTTAAGAAGGAATAGCTGTATCAGCAGTTCTTATATTAAGACATCAAAGATAATTTTACCTAACTACCCTACTGCTTTTCTCAGAAACTGAAGCCAAAATTCAAACCTTAAAAATAATTTTAAAAACAACAACAATAATAATAATATCAATAAGTATAATGACAGTCAATATACATGGAGATGCTACCACATATACACAATGTTTTGATACTAGTATGCATCATAACATTCAATATTCTTACTAATGGCAAGAGTGAGGAACTAGATTAATTCAATTTCCCTAAAGAAGAAAGAGATGAAGAAAATAGTCTAAGGTCACATGGTTTGCACAATGAAAATATTTTGCTTCTATAAATTTGTAGCTTGATGGGCCTGGTATGATGGCTAAATTGGATAAATCCTCACCTTTTAAGCATCATGATGCTGTATAGCATTGGTTCATGTTCCAGCTGCTCTACTTGCCATGTAGTTCCTTGCTCATGGTCAAGTAAAGCAGAGGAGGTGGGCTAAAGCTCTGGGACCTTTCATCCATGTGGGTGATAAGGAAGTAGCTCCTGACTGCTGACTTTGAATCCAGCCGTTGGGCCAGTGAAAATATTTCTCTCTGTCTTTCCTTCTCTCTGTAAATCGGCCTTTCCAATAAATCTGATAAAAGAAAGAAAGAAAGAATGGGCCCGGCGCGGTGGCGCAAGTGGTTAAAGGTCCTCAACTTGCACGCCCGGGATCCCATATGGGCGCCAGTTCTAATCCCAGCAGCCCCGCTTCCCTTCCAGCTCCCTGCCTGTGGCCTGGGAAAGCAGTCGAGGACAGCCCAAAGCTTTGGGACCCTGCACCCGCGTGGGAGACCCGGAAGAGGCTCCTGGCTTCGGATTGGCATGGTATCGGCCCGTTGCGCTCACTTGGGGAGTGAATCATCGGACGGAAGATCTTCCTCTCTGCCTCTCTCTCTCTCCTCTCTGTATATCCGCCTTTCCAATGACATTCCTACGAATGCTGTCCATGCCCTCAACTCGTGCACTTTCATTTCAGTCCTGGCTAAGGGCCTGGGACTCAGTGGAAGATGAACTCAAGTATTTAAGCCTCCTTAACCGTCCACCCATGGGAGACCCAGGCAAAGTTCACCCTCCTGGATCCAGCCTGGCCCATACTTGGCCCTTGCAATGTCCTTTCTCATGGTAACACTATCAAAAATAATAAGCACACTTTTTGTTATTAAAGTTAATTAATAATCAATTGCACTTTCTCTTAATTGCAATAGCCACCAGAGCTGAGCCAGTATGAGCCAGGCGCTAAGATCCAAGAATATTTTCCATGTCTCCTGCACAGGTGGGTGGGGCCCAGGGATTTGACCAGCCCCTACTGCTTCCCCAGGTGATAAGCAGAGAGTTGGGACACCTATATGGGTGCCTAGCACTGTAGGAAGAGTAGCCTGCTACACCGCATCAACCCCGGGCCTTATGATCTATAAACAGTATAGTTTGATGTGGAGCTAGTCCTTAATATAGGTTTCTTTTGCTTTCCTTTTTTTCTGTTAATTTCTACTTTCCATTTTACAATGTGTAAGCATCGGGATTCCTCCATCTGCCACCCCAACCCTCCCATTGCCTCTACACCCCAACTGTTCCCTGTGTTTTATAGCAAAATAGTGCATCAGGTGTAGAATTGACTCCAACTTCTGTTCTTTAAATGGGTCATGACATTGTTGGTATAGGCAATGTTGGACAGTTTAATGGTTTGTTTTCTAGATATATTTATAAGTTTCATTAGGTGCCTAGTTTTAAGAATAAGCAAATCTTAAAAGAAAACCCTTTATCTATAAAAAGTGATACAGAAGCATAACTCAAAATTGTTCAAAAGCAGTTTCTTTCTTGAAGGAAACAAAGCCAAATTTTATAAGAAACAATTTTAGAGATCAATAATCCATGACTTGATTTAATTGTTCTTGCGTCTTGGAATTATGGTAGGAAATGTAAATGTAACTGCTATCATGTGAGTAAAGTTGCTACTTTAAAAATTGTGATGCTGTTTATATGTGGCTTGTTTTGTATCATCAAAAGTTTTATTTAGATAGGGCCTGGTGGTGTGGCCTAGAGGCTACAGTCCTCATCTTGAACGCACCGGGATCCCACATGGGCACCGGTTCTAATCCCAGCAGCTCCACATCCCATCCAGCTCCCTGCTTGTGGCCTGGGAAAGCAGTCAAGGACGGCCCAATGCTTTGGAATCCTGCACCTGTGAGAGAGACCTGGAGGAGGTTCCTGGCTCCTGGCTTCGGATTGGCATAGCACCGGCCGTTGCGGTCACTTGGGGAGTGAATTATTGGATGGAAGATCTTCTTCTCTGTCTCTTCTCTGTGCATCTGACTTTGTAACAAAAATAAGTAAATCTTTTAAAAAAATAAAATTTTTATTTCAAAAAAATCTATGTTGCTTTTGCAGACACATACTGATCATTGAAATGTACACCACTTTTATTACATAAATGAGTTAGGTTATAACATCAAGGAAAGCTTTCAAACTTGCTTGTATTGTAGCTGGTAGTTATGCTGTTTTAAAAATAAAGAGTTTTTAGTCTGCTATTAAAAATAAACGAAAATGCTACTGCCTATATTCTATGGTAATGCCTAAAAATGGAAATCTAGAAATGAAAACAAAAACAAACCTAAGCAAAATGAAACTGAATACCTAGTGAAACGTAAGTACCTACAAAGTGTAATAGAATGAGGTATTGATGAATGTTTTTTTCACAGGTATGTCTTTTACATGATTTTATGGAGTTGTCATAGCTCAAATAAAACTATGCCTAAGGCAACCATTTTTGTGAGTGATGTTTCTGTGTCAACTAGAGTCGAATGTCTGATGTTGTGGCATCACTTCAGGCAATCTTTTAAGAAGGGCTGTAATAACATGGCAGCTTTGTGCCATCCTGAATTCCCTTCGGGCAATCAGGTGTCAGAACTGAATGCATACAGCCAGCACATCAGACTTTGCTCCTGTCCGAGTTTACCAATACAAAAAAAAAAAAAATGTTGTACTAAGAATTGAAGCCAAAGCCATAAAAAAGAATAAGGGACATTTTAGAAGGATGTACTTGATCACCAATTTTCTTAGAGATGGATCCAATATTACATGTTTAATTATGCATCTGTTA